TAGACTTTAAAATAGTGTATTTAGTTAATGCAAATGTGAACCTTAATGCAAAGATTGTATCAAAGGAGGACCACACTTGGGCGTCTATTCCAAACATACTTGGCACAGGTAAGTGATAATGTTTGGAAAAAAAAATCAGGCTAAGTTATTCATGTTAGAGATTGAAGAAATAATGTGTGATACAGTAGTTATGGAGAAAACGTTCTAATAGATTAACCAATTAATGTGATATGGAGTCCTATGAATACAAAATAGGTTTGAAAAAAATAGAATCTGGATGTAATGTGAAGGAAAAGAAGTCCACATTCTTCACATCTCTTCCCTCTCCCTTTCTAAAGCAGATTAGTTGACTGGGGAGGAAGGAAATGCTTCGTCTGTGCTTATCATGACTTTTTTTTTTTTTTTTTTTGACTAAATGAGTAAGTTTGTTGTTAGACTATTTAAAGTTGCCTCTAATAAAGGCTGTAATAAATGAAGGATCATTTAGAAGGGAATCAAGAAGAAAGAACAAGCTGTGGTTGGAAAGGTGCAAATTAGAAATTAAACTGAGAATGATATTGAAGGAAAATGTAAACATTCTTTAAGCATGTTAGAACTAGAAAGGACTTGAAAAAATGTGGTTCATCTGAACTGTCAGGAAAAAAGACTTGGAAAGGACAGTGCAGCAAAGCTAGATTGTTTATTTGCAGGAGTCTTGATCACAAATTCTGTTGAGCATTTTCATAGTCTTAATATATTCTTCTCTTTATATTTTAAATTTTCTATTTTAAAAATAGTTTAAACCCCTTCTGAAAGAAGTCATGAAAATCATCTTCATAGCCCTTTCATGCTGTTTCAAGTCAGAGCAGGCAAACTTAAATTTGTCTGACCAAAACACACCGGTGTTTTTTGTTGTATTGTGTTTTGAGGAGGTGCATAAGGGGAGGGACAGCCAAGCACTCTGATGTTTTTTCTTGATTTGTTCTTGTCTGAAAAGTGAACTAGTTTACATCTCTTTCATATTGGATATGTCAATAGGGCTTTGTTGATTTGTAAAGGAATGCTTTGAAAAGGAAAATTCTGTTTTTGAAATAGCCATCATTCTAAATTTCATTCCTTTTATGTTTTTGTTCATTCTGTGCACAAAAAAAACACTGTCACTTATCTTTTCACCATCTGATATTTAACTCATAGGGTGTCCACTATTAGTTTACTGATGGATAGTTAGCAGAGAATAATTTTGAACTGTTAAGTTCTTCCCCTGTTGCTTTTTTTTTTAAAAAAAAAAAAAAGCTCTGGGGACTGTAGATGTTCACATGTTCTGCTGAAGGATTGCAAAAGTAACGTTCATTTATAACATTTGACAGATTATTCATGGAAAAATTATGCAAAGGAAAAAACAGTGAGATCCTTTGGGATATGTGTAAACTTTTCCAAATGTTCTTGCCACAGATCTCTAAACAGCACTCAGCTCATTCTAATGAAGTTGTCTCACATTTCCTAATGTAAACAAATTGTAATAATGTTTTAATATTTTATACTTTTTTTTTTTTTTTTTTGTACATGTCAGCATAGCCTTGAAAATAATGCTAAGAAATAATGAAAACCAAACTAGCTCTTGTTCTTGCCAGGTGCCTGGAAAATCCTACGAAGAGTGCTTTGTCTCCATGAAAGGCAAAATAACAGAATAGCAATCATGGTAACAGTATGCACTCGGAGGGAAGCCAGGAGAGTAAAGAAGTGAGCTAGCAGTAGCAGCTGACTTCACTTATTGGAAAAAGGGGGCAAAATAACTCAATCTCCAGTGAATTTAAGTAGTGGAATTTTGTTATCAGCAGTATCAGGCTTAGCTCCTCCAGCTAATTGCTCAGCAGTCTGGTATGTTCATGAACATCACTTGCTCTTTGCAGGTTTTGTCAGTTATCTTACCACTTTGGCATCCCTTCTCAGCACAGGCTATCTTACCCCTTTACAGAAATGAAGTCATCTCCCGTGTGCCCCATACTCACATACTCTGCACCTCAGGCTTCTAAAGAATTGACAGCAGAGTTCCTGTCCTATGAGAGCTCTGAACTTCACAGCTGCCTCTTCATAGATATTTGACAGTAGAATGCAGAAAGGCTTTGTAAAGGTGTCGCCTTTGATTCTTTTTACCTTAGCTCTGTATATTTCCTCCTCTTGCTTTGGAGATGAAGATGCAGGGCTACATGGAAAAATGGTAACTCCAGACAAAGTAATATCAGCATAAATTTTGTTTTTATCTTACCTCACAAAGCATCTTTCTCTCTTCATCTTATTTCACATATTTTCATCTTCATCTTATTTCATCATATTTGCATTCATGAGGATGTCTTACTATTGACACATCACTAAGAATTAGATTGAGTTCATTATCTCTTTTCACAGAACTGATTAAAACAATCATAATTGCTATGTGTAATAGCAAGGAAGCCGAGCTGGAACTGTTGCTTTAAATTGTGAGACCCTCTTCCACAAGTTCTTTCGCTCTTTAAACCTCTCACTTTAGCCAGGTAGTATTTTAACCTGATCTGAATTCTGATAAAACAGATTTTTTTAGAACTTGCTAAAAATAAAAACTTGCAATAAAATTTGCTAAAATGGAGTTACAATTATTTCAATCTTTTTGTTTATATTCTATTAATGTTAGTGTAAATTTCAACCCCATGCTTCCTTAATGGAGATTTAATTTCTAAGACAAGGGACTGTTGAGTGGAAACTCTCAAAGAACTATTTCTCTTTGCAGACAACATCTGTTATTTTTATAGGTTTTTACAGATATAGCATTTGAACCTGTAAATAGTTTAAAATACTTGCAGATAAATCCAACTGACTGGGATTTCATTCTGACTGGGTTGTCTCAGTACAAGACTCGTTCTTTTTGTTGCTCTTTTTATAGATAAGTAGTTATAGTGCAGTCTTTGTGATTTATCTTCATGAACATTGTCTTTGAATCAAAGAAATACAAAGTTTTATTGTTTTGAGCTCAGAGACTCAATGTGGTGAGAAACTTAAACCTTTAAACACTAGAAAGTAGAACTAGAGCATACTAAAAAAATTGACGGATTTATTTTGATATTTTGAATAGCTTCTGTGTGGAAAAAGCACTGCATCTTAATGGTACCCATTTAGGGCTGTTCATTGCTACTCTGTCATAGGCTGTAGTTTTCATCATTTGTCAAGTAGCTCTTAGTGAATTATAATGCCATATACTTAGAGGATTTAATATAAATTGTAATTTAGAATTCATTTTCTAGCACCAAAAAGAAAACTTTGAACAACTCAACAGAAAGAATAGAAAACTGAACCAATCCATCAGCCAAATTAAGGGACAAGTGGTAGTTTAGTGCATTACAAGTTGAGATTATCGGCCCTAGATGATTAACAGTAAAATTCTTGTTGAGTTTCAGATTATATTTGTGTTCCTATTTGTATGCATGCTCATAATTTTCAGGTAAATTCTTTCAGTTACCACAGTCTTCATGATGGGTCTCAGTTCAGATATAGTATAAGCATCACCACATTATGTATAAGGATTTTCCTCCTACTGCCAGGAAACCACCTTTGTAATTCTTTCTAGTGATGATTCAGCTCATAGTGACATTCCTGAGTCTAGGCTATAGCAAAATTAATATCATATAGTAGGGAATTTATTCATATTTATCACAAAACTTGATGTACATGTAGAATGCAGAGTGGATATGGACAGCAAAGCACCTTATGTCTGTTAGGTTGGACTCTTGTTTTTGAGGATGGAGGGGAGGAGCAGGTAGAGGGTGGACCTAGTTTGTTTTGATTTTTTTTTGTTTGTTTGTTTTCTGCGGGACAAACTCACTACTCATGAGTTTGTGTCCCATGAAGGTTCCTTCTTGTGTCCCATGAATGTTCAAGGCAGAAGCAGCTAATGAGTATTTTCAGCTAAGGAATATTTTCTGCTTTTAGAGAGGAAGGGAGGTGGAGACATAGCAGGTGCAAAATCATTTCTGACACAGCTAGTTCTCAAATTGTGCCCCATAATATTTTTCTACTGTTGCTTATCACTAATTTGAGTTGACACTTCTGAATGGATTCTARAGATAACTCTGTTTTTTTTCATATGAGGAAAGTTTCTGTCTCTGACCTCTTACAGGGAGTTTCAGATTAGAGGCTCAAAGCTGAATAGTGTAAGGTCCCTCCAAGAAGTGGCTCCTGTAGTGTGGAGGGTGCGGGGAGGGGGTGATTTGCTCCTACCTCATGTGTACCAAGTCTGGAGAGGTGAGTCAGGCGGCTATTTTTCATGACCCATTTCTGTCATAGTATTAACATCACCATTAAATATTTATTTTTTTTTTTAACTGTGAAGTTAAGAATAGCTTTACATTTACTTAAGATGATGATAGACCATGTTGTTCATATTGCAGAATTCACTGCCAGCCTTTTGCAAATAGCATCAAGGAACTGGAACAAGAACAGCTTGTTTGTGTTTTCCATGGGGCTTCATAAAATTTGTAAAATGAGAGGAAGAATAATTGCAGTGAGACATTCCTAAAGCTCATAGATGACTGGCTATACAGATGTATTATTTCTCAATAGAAACATGAAAAGCCCCTGTTTTCTCTTACATGCTTAAGCTGTGAGTCAGTGTGAGCAAATTGTTTACACTTGACTGGAGTTGTGAATAAAATTCAGAACATATGTGTGAGCATTCCTGCTCACACCCGAAATGCAAACTGACTTTGTGGCTCTACATATTACACTTCAGCATATCCAGCTATTATATGAATGCCAGCACTTTTTTTTGTGTTAAGTTCGTCCCTAAAAATATGTCTAAAGCTGTTTTGAAAATGTCTTTCAGACAGTTCAAGAAAGTAAAGATGATAATGGTGTAATTCCATTATCCAAGAAACACTTTTCAGAAATGATGCCTTCTGGATATCTGTAATAATTTTAATCAATGTCTGTCTAAACAAAACGGATTGGAAGTTTCTGTTCTTCACTTCAGTGTTAATTGATCTCTCTTTTAGGTCCATCTGAAGTGTCGGTAATTACGAAATTCAGCAGGAGACCAACATGTCCTGATGCTTCAATGGCAGCAGGTCTACCAACACCTCCTGTACCAAGGCACAGGAAAAGTCACAGCTTGGGAAACAAGTAGGTACTCCAGTCTGTCTAACCCTCAAATAATTCATGCATCACAAGGGTTTAATCTAGCAGTTGAACACTTTTTGATGTTTGCCTCTTCCATTTCTTGATTTTAAGAATGCTTCAAGTTTTACTATGTATTCTCTGTTTTTTTTTTTTTCAGAAAGGTACCTTGGCATTTTCTTATTTTTCCTAACACTGTTTTTTGATAGTGCCAGAAAATAGCAGTACTCAAAAGCTGCATATCCACTTTGTTCTGTAGGTGTCTGATGTGTATAACAGACTTTTTTTTTTTTTTTTTTTTTGTAGTGTCTAATAATACATCTAAGGAAACACTGTCTGCTTGGTGATCCTTTCTTGTTATTCATGGAAGTTGTGAGGTTTTGCACTGTTCTAGCTGCGTAACATGGATTATGTACATACTTTTGTGCGACATTTATCCAGCTGAGTAAGAGCACCCACTTTCCAGTTAAAGTTTCAGTGTCTTACAAGCCTCATGGTTTAATTGAATAAGAAAAAAGTTTATGTGACTTTTCCAAAGCCAGTATATTCAGTTTAGCAAAGGACCACTGAGCAGCACATTTACTGTTTTTTTCCTACCTTTTCTCTACCTTTTCTCTCCCCAAGTAGTTCAACTTCTATACAGAGAAGAGTCAAAAAAAACTTAATATGTTACTGTAGATGGGAATTTATAATGGCAAATTGTAAAGGCCACAAAATTATGAATTTTGTTTTGGTAGTCAAGGAGCATATATACGAACAACAGGAAAACATGACCAGTACCATTTAACTACCTACTATTTAAGAACTTACATTGATGATCATAGCTTTGTGAGGCATTGCCTAAGTGGAAAATTCAGGAGGAAAGTGTTGTTATCAGATTATATAAGAGTCTTTTTGCATTTTTCTCTGATTCTCTAGTATGATGTGTCAGTTCAGTGTAGTAGAGAGCAAAAGTGCCACGTTCCCAACAGAGAAACCTCGCCATCTGCTGGATGACAGTGTCCTGGAATCACACAGTCCTGCGCGTAGCCACATGCTAAGCTCGGTTTTCTCTAATGGTATTTCCATAGGTAAGGTCCAAGAAACAGTTCTGCTTTTCTGTACTTAATATCTTGAAACTCACAGATATGCCAAAAATATGAAATCTGGAAAATTATTAGCTACTGGACAAAGATTGGTCCCTCTAATAGAAGAAAATAGCTAAGAACTGCTGCTACTTAGCAACTTATTCAGCTTTGTCTTAAACAAATTTCCTCAGTTACCTACTGATGGTTTTGACCAAAGTGGCATTAAAGATGATTTTCTTTGTGTCCAATCTGTATGTAACATGGACTGTTTGTGAATTTTCACCAGCAAAACAAAAATGTTACTGAAACTGAATACTGAATATATTTAAAAAGCTGCATTTTTACAAAGAAAACTTATTTTAATGGGATATTTGAGAAGACAGGAGAATATTATAGCTTTGCAAATAGACTTCAAATGAAGCATAATAGACTTGTAAAAGAAGATGATGAAAATGATGACAACTATGTTATAATTAATAAAATAATTGTAAAAATAAAAACAAAATTACTGTCTCTAGGATGGGAAATAGACTGTGAGAGCTAGTAGAATTTTTGATCAAGGAGAGCTTCACTCTAATATAGTCTTTGAGCTTCTGAAAATGCAGACAAAACTCTATATTATATGAAGTGATAGAAGACCAATCTTCGACAAATTAGAATAATCTCTGTCTATGTGAGTCACATGGCTGTGCCAAAGAAGATGGGAGAAACTGGTCAAGGGCTTTCAAGAAAAATAGAGACCACCATTGTGAATGCCATCGCGTTGATTTTTTATGAATGCAAGTAGCATCATACAGCTGCCATGCTCTCCGGTGATATCATGTCCGATACTCTAATAACATTAATTCATCTGCACATGTTGTGGAAATGCTGTCTTAAAAACTGGCTTAATTTTATTTTCCTGAAGTTGTTAGCTTTTTGAAGGAAAAGCAACGAAAATGAAAATGGCATGCAAACATTTGGTATTCAAAACATAGCATAAGCATAAATGGGAAGATTCATATAGGACTCGTCTGGGTTTAGATTTTTACCTTAAAAGCTAAAGACTTGGACTCTGAGACATGATTTCCATAGTACTATATAAAGATGACTCTGATGATCCCCCTACCTTGACGTTTTATTTTCTTTTAGATTTTTTTTCATTCTTTTTCTGTAATATTTCTTTTCTAGATAGCAGTGAAAGCTCAGAAGTTAGTGAGGAACTGTCTTCAGGGCTTGAAAGGTGAGTTTGTCTTCATTTACACTAACTCTAAGTATCCAGAATTAGCTAAAGGAATCCCAAGTGACCCCTAACACAGGAAAAAAAAACCTGAATCAGACATTATTCTTATCAAATTATTATTTAAGGAAAAATGGTAAACTTCTTGAAGTAAACCAGTGTAAACTTGCTGTGTTTTTTTCCATGAGAATTACTTTTGTCAGGTGTTTTATACTCTAGTTGTTGAAGATCTCAGACTAGATTATTTTCCTCATGAGATATTTACATTCACAAACAGGGGTCGTTTGTATGCCACACTCGGGCCTAATTGGAGGGTACCAATCCGGAGTTCTCCCAGAAGTCAAAGCTGTGTCTACAGGTACTGTTCATGACCTACCTTGTTTAAGTGTATGATGCTAAACTTTTATTTAAGTCTCTACATTTTCCTAGCCTCATTCATTTTTGTGAAGAAAAGTATTCCTGTATGACCAGATCAATGCATGGGAGTCCACCTGGTGAAATGGGGCAAAAGTATTTTGCCAGTAGGCTGACCAGACTTGGAGGCAGGATTTTAAACTGGGAATGCTGAGGTAGGAGAGAGTGACCAGCAACCAAGTGATGAATTGAGTCAGCAAGCAAAGGATCTCAGGTGATGTGAGCAAAGAGACTCTTAGTCTACAAGGCAGAGTTGATGTGAAGTCACACTGAGCACGTGTAGGTAAAAATAAGAAAGTGCCTATGGGAAAACATTATGGGGAAAACTCATTCTCTTCCTGGGAAAACATCATGTTGAGTAGCCTCTCTGACATGCCTATGCACTACTGTATGCAGGCTGGAGAATAAGCGGGAGGAATCACAGACCTGTGTGCAGCTTCATGGCTGCTCATTGGGATGACCTCATTGGGATCATGGAGGCATAGTAGGACAGCTGTGAAGCCTGGAGTGCTGCATTAGACAGGCCGGGAAGGTGAGGAGTGAGAGCTGCCCTTTATAGGAGAGAGCAGCAGGAGGGCCTGGAGCTCTGCTCAGAGAAGGGGAGGAGACAACTAAGAACTTCGGGGGTCAGGATTAGCAGGCAAACCAACAGAGGTGAAAATGCAGTGACTTGCTGCTATAGGCCACCTGATCACGTAGAGGAACTAGAAGAGGCCCTCTTCAGAAGTCTCACGTCACATCCATAACTGACCTGACTTGAAAAATTCTGTGACAGCAGGAAGTGAAACGTAAATGAGTGATAAAGAAAAAGACCCCAGAAACAATATTCAGCAATACTGAGATTTTAATGCCATTTAAATCCATTCAGTTTTTATCTGGATTGGTTTGCTGTAGCCATTACAGCTTGCATTCAGTCTTCTTTTTCTGGAATCACCTCCTGCTTCTTTTATAAAAATCTTACAATTGACAAGAATTCCCATTAGTGCAGTCAGGGCAATTCCATTTAACTGAAGAAGAAGCATCTGCCAGTGTGACGCTCTTCTGTTAGTGGTATTGCTGTGTATTTCACTTCCACCAGTGTTTGTATATCGTCAAGCTTGTACATAATAGAATGGTATTTCTTTCACAGCTGAAGGGTAGATCAAATGTCTATCCTTTTCTTTGTATTCATTATCAAAAATGTTAATTGCCAGATGATATGCAAGGTAATGTATTTAGAGTTAGATTATGATGCTTACTTTTTGTTCTTTTTTGTCTACTCAAATATGTCTGGTGATATTTTGTCTTTCCAGCCCAGTAGGAGCCTGTAGCTGCACATCAAGTAGTTCCATAGGAGTCATTACCATGGAAGGACCCTTAAGAAGGAAAACATTGCTCAAAGAAGGCAAGAAACCTACTGTAAGTCCTTCCTGTGATTCTAATTAAGTAGTGGCTTTTTTAATTTCCAGGATTCAATTCAGCTTGCAGTAATGAACCAAAGAAAGAATGTTCCTTTTTTCCTAATGTATTGCAAAATCACTTTCTATTAAAAAAATTTAACTGGGTTAATAAGATAGTAATCTTTGTCTGTCATATATTCTACAGCAGCTTTGTGCTTCCTTGTATATGCAAGTAACATTCCAGACTGTGACAGCAGAAAAAGAGGCCAGCAGCTCTGAAAGGCCAGAAACTTGGTGTCACGTTGAAAAAGGAGGGCTGCAAGACATACACCCTTAGCACAAAAGACATGGTCTTTCATATTTACCCTAAATTATTCTGATCATATATCCTGTAGAAGGGAGCATGCTACTCTGCTGTAAAGAGATTTTAATCAGATATCCAAGTAAGATGGCTTGTGTTACTAGTCAGGCACCAGAATTTAGGTAGTAGGGATGAGTTACTACAGAAGGCGGTCTGTATATTCCTTACTGAATTCCTTACGTCCAAGCTAAAATTTGTCAGCACCTGGACTTGATGGTGAATAGGTTTTTGAAATTTTTGAATATTTTGAAGATAAGTTTTTCCTGATTCTTTCTTTGCTTTCTGATTTAGCTCTCGTCATGGACTAGATACTGGGTTACACTTTCAGGATCAACTCTTCTGTACTTTGGAGCAAAATCTTTAAGAGGCACTGAAAGAAAACATGTAAGACATAAAATTTGTTCCAAAACCAAAAATGCATAGTCATAAAATGCATAGTCATAAAAATGCATGCATAGTCGAGGGAAGTGATCATCCCCCTCTACTCAGCCCTGGTGAGGCCACATCTGGAGTACTGCGTCCAGTTCTGGGCTCCCCAGTACAAGAGGGATGTGGATCTGCTGGAGAGAGACCAGCACAGGGCTACCAGGATGATCAAGGGCCTGGAACATCTGCCCTATGAGCAAAGGCTGAGAGAGCTGGGTCTGTTCAGCCTGGAGAAGAGGAGGCTGAGGGGGGACCTGATCAGCGTGTATAAATACCTCAAGGGAGGCAGTGAGGAGGAGGGGGGTGGCCTCTTTTCAGTGGTGGGCAGGGATAGGACTAGAGGAAATGGCTTCAAACTGAAGCATCGGAAGTTCCACAGGAACTTAAGGAAGCATTTCTTCACTGTGAGGGTGACAAAGCACTGGAACAGGCTGCCCAGAGAGGTTGTGGAGTCTCCTTCTTTGGAGATCTTTAAAACTCGCTTGGATGCAGCCCTGTGCCACGTGCTCTAGGTGACCCTGCGTGAGCAGGGGGGTTGGACTCGATGACCTCTGAGGTCCCTTCCAACCTTGGGCATTCTATGATTCTATGATAAACAGTTCGGGGAGGGTAGTTGAAGTGTTTTTGCTATTGTTTCAGGCTAAGCCATATCTGTAGTACAACTTTTAGAGACAGTAACTAATTTCCACTACAGTCTCAGTTGTGACTGATTTATCTGTCTCTTGCAGTATAAATCCACACCTGTTAAAAAGGTCTCAATTGTGGGCTGGATGGTAGCGCTGCCTGATGACCCTGAACACCCTGATATTTTCCAGTTAAATAATCCTGACAAAGGTAGATGTTGCAAGATGGACTTTCTCTGCACTGTATTTCATGTGTTTGTAGATAAGAGCACTTGCTGTGACATTCATTTTAAAGATTGAAGAAGGGAATTTCAAAGAAGGGTACAAATGGAGTTAAAAAAAAAAAAAAAAATTGTGGTGCTTCTGTGATGTCTACAGAGGATTTCCTGCATTTGACAGTTACTGTAAGAATTGTAAGATTTGCCTAATATGAGATGATTTTCTTAGAGTTGATCAATATCAAATCTTGACTTACAGTGAGGCCAATTTAAATATTATGGAAAACCTTCAAACATCAAACTTTTATCAAAAAAATTATTTAGATTACTTTTTAGCAATTAATTCTAAAGTGTCATAACTCTTCCACCTTGATGAAACTTCAAAAACTTTAAAAGTTCAGGAAGATGCTGGAATTATTTTGCACTTTGGAGGTTACATGAAAATTTTTGAGACTTTCTTCCCCTTCTCACATTTTCAATGTGAGATTTCACATTTACTGTTTCACAAATATCAAAAACATCCATTGGACTATTGGCAGTAATCACAGCAGACTTAATTGGGGGAAAAAAAAAAGCTAGGAGCAAAATAATTTTTATCTGCTCACCTTTCTGACTGGTCTTTTCTGTGACTGTAATTTTGTCTTATAGACCATGTGCCCCTTATACCTTTACAGACCACATATGTGTTTATGCTCCCTTCACCCATGGATTGTTAGTTAACATAACTCTCATGGGCTGTGTTGTATTAGCAAGATGCTGTTTGACCGTTTGAGGTGAAAGTTAACTGTTTACTTAAGAATTTTGTCTTCTGCATAGAAGTCCATCAAGGCTATATTTATATTGAATTTCTATATCACAAATTCAGAGACGTTGATTTTCTTAATTTTGTAGGCAATGTTTACAAGTTCCAAACTGGTTCAAGATTTCACGCAATATTATGGCATAAGCATTTGGATGATGCATGCAAAAGCAACAGGCCCCAGGTAAGGTTGTGAAACTATATTTCTACCCAATTTTTCTTATTTTCTGAAAAAAACCTTATAAGAAGAAGATGCTTCTTCACAAATTTTGTGCACACAGCACTGTGGGGGCATACATAACTCCTTGTTTTGTACATTGATCCAGTTTTGTAATCGGAAGAATAAAAGTTATTTAAAACTGTAGAATTCCCACCAAAAGGCATGATTTGTGTTTTTCATTCACTGCTTCAGGTGAGTGTAACCCTGTCTTTATTTTGGAAGAAGCTTTCTCATGAATAGTGTGTCAAACATGCCAGCATTTATGTTGATGACTGGGTTCATAAGCAGCATTGAGGAGACTGTCCCATAAGATACCACTTTTTGTCMTTTAGATAGCAGCCTCATTCTTCTGAGAAAAATATTCATTCTTAAAAGGAGTTTTAAAGGTTGTAAAACTAGGCTCCTACACCATGCAGGAGATTAAACAGGGTGAAGCTTGAGAATCTTCTTTATGCATACCCTCCTGCCCCAACGCATACTGATAAATTCGTATAATATTTTGGTTAGATTTTGTCCATGAATATAAAAACTGGTTGAGTTTTTATGTTTCCTTACAGTTGTGGCCTGTTGTGCCAGTTTGGAATTGATTGCACTGTCATACTGAGTAATAAATGGTCAGCCCATTGTATTTTATAGTTTCTTGATGCCATAATAGTTTCAGGAGCTTTACACTGCTGAATAATTTACATTTTCTTCCAGGTACCTGCTAATCTGATGTCATTCGAATAATTTCTTCTCTTACGTGGTGTGACTTCAAGTGCCAAACTGAAGAAACAAACTATTGTTCTTTTAAGATAGAAGACGATAAAAGAATGGTTTCTCCTGACATGAGCCAGCCACATGTATTTCAGCACTTTCCTGTGTAACTTGAAAGTGATTCCGACACAGCTTTTAAAAGCAGAAGGTGAATGTTGTCCTTAGGACCAGATAAAGTTTCATGCACTGAGTGAAAGTAGATAATTTAAGTGGACAGAAGAATAATCCTGACTGCTGCAGGATTCTAGAGCCCTCAACTTTAATTTTGTGGTCACAGACTGCCCTGAAAAAATATTCAGACGCAAACTTTGCATCATATCTTCTGCCTATTCTTTTTTTTAACTGTTCTTTTTATTATTAAGCTTCTTTGTGTGACTGAAGAACATTTGGCCCATGTTGGGTTTCAATTCTTTCTAATGCACAAAATGATTTACAGTGTTAACTTGCTGCAAAGTGACAGAATAGAAAATTGTAGAACAACGTTTTTATAACTTAAGTGCACTGAGTTGCTTGGCAATGTGGCTGCCTCAGATTTTGTATCAAATTTCTGGACAATTTTGCTGTTCATATTTGAGCTATTTGAAAAAAATGTATTTTGGCACGGGATAGTTAGTAGCATTTTCGGTTTTATTCAATGATGCTGCTCAGGAATGCCATGACAATGGATTTATGGCTATTTATGCTGTGTTAAAAGCCTTCTTGAGTTCTTTTACTGATGGTATGATTGCTTATATGTCTATTTTTTCTTTAATTTGGATGCTATTCATCCCTCAATATAGGAAAGTGGGTATTCAGGTCTTCCATATCACACGATCCTGGCTTCTAGGAATGGTTCCATAGAGTTATATTTCTATTCCATTTTCTTATGGATGACACAGACCCACTTAGTTCCAGTAAATGATGCATCTGTATGATACACAGTACTGTGACAGCAGGTACACTAGTGGTGCTGTACTAGTAGCAGGTACACAGTACTGTGACAGCACTGGTTCATAGTGCTGTTGTTATGAAATCATGATGGGGATGAGAACTCAATTACAGTGGCAATGTAGGAGGCACAAAGAAGCCTCCTCGTGTCCTGGAAAAAAAAAAAAAAAAAAAAAAAGGAGAGAGAGAGAAAGTGAGCCTTCGGCTCAGAGAGAACTGTCTAAATCCCGTGCTGTGCCCTAGCACTCTTATGGATCAGAGTGCTTTTTGTTAGTAGTTTCTGTTTTTTAAACTCTTTTGCCATAGGATATCAGTATTCAGGCTTCATTAAAAGTATCTGTTAAGTCTTAGAAAATGGCCTTAGGATATGAGTGCTCTGCATATTTTTTGGCTTGGAATTAAAGGGTAAACTGCCCGAAAGAGAGACCTGAAAGCCAAGCTCTAGCTTACAAACCATGAAGAAATCAAAAGTCAGTTTGTATGGAGTAAGTCTGCATTAGAACAAGCTCTGTTGCATAAGGGTATTTGTTCTGTGGACTTACATGATTGCAATTTTTCTGAAATTTTAAAACTTTTTCTAACGAAATAAGAAGGTAATTTGCTTTGTTAAATTTACGGTGAGTCTAATTTTTGTGTTCTCTTAAGTGTTTGTGTTGCAGTCCTGAGAATGAAATGTGTTACACACCAGTTTTTCAAGAAAGCCAGCTCCTAACAACTCCTGCATTTAAAGTCTGAGATGTGAGTTTATATAAAGCTGACAGTTTCTTCAATAGCTCAGAATCTGTGTAAAACAAGTAGTAATACCAAGTAAATTATTCTTTTTTTTTCTCTTGGTGTGCCAAATTAAAAAAAGTTTTAGCAGACTGCAAGGATATTTGCAAGGATAAAGTATCCCACGCTGTTAGAGCCAATGTAAAAGCTTTGGATTGGGGTGATAGTCTGTCGTCAGTATATGACCTCAGACTCCTCATCCAGATGTGGATGTTTTCTGTTAGTATCAGTGAGATGCTGCATGAGGTTGCAGGGACTACATGCATTCTCATTTTAATTAATGTGGTAACATAAGTATGTGCCATCTATGACAGTTTGTATCATGTGTATTATTAGCACTCAGAAGGTTTGGACCTCGTACAACTTCATTACTTTAGATTAAACCTACGTCCCTAAAGCAGAGAACAGACTTATTTCTCAGTGCCTGTACAGATTTATCGTACCAGAGAACTTTTTTGATTCAGGGAATGCTAGGTCACTGCCACCACAGAAATATCCCTGCATTCCTAGATTTCTGGGTTTCAGTCCGTGCTGGAATATAGTATCCTACAGAACATAATGGCTTTCCTAAATTTAGATGTATTTAGGTCTCGTTCTGGTGCAAGATAAGCCTTATTTATTTTAACAGGAAATCTTTAAAATGGAAATCTTTAAAATACCTAGCCATTTCTAATGCGATTCATTGGAAGAGATATGATTCACGACTTTTTTTTTACATTACTTGAGATAGACTAGTAGATGTTGTAACAAATTTTCCTTCCATGCGACAACTCTGTCTCAGAAGGAGCTGCTGACTGAGTAACAATCAATTGAGCTAGTAGACACTCAAATCCTAATAGCTTGACAGTTTCTGAAGCATTAAATATGATATTGTACTTACAAGAGGCAGAGCTTTCTATCATTCAAAAATATTTTTTTTCTTGAAAGTAAGAGCCTTAAAATCTGTTGGACAAATTACAAAATGGGCTGTTTTCTCTTGTTTGTAAAAGATTACCAGCTAGAAAAGAAGTATCTTTACCTAAAACCATGGTAGCCCCCAGAATAGAGAGGCATGAAAAGGAGAATATTTCAGAGCATTTTTTAGAGCCACTCATTCGTCACTAACAGAAATCACTGCATCTGTGGAGGAATGAATCCTTTCAAATAATCCTGCTCAAAAAAACTGTAATTTGGAAACATGTCAAAAGTAAATTGAATGCCTTACCACTGTTAACCATCTGAATGTTAAGAAATGTACACTGCAAATAAGTCTTGCAGATTAGCCAAATAAATATCTTTTCAGTGTAGTACAATTATGAAAGTGCTGCACAACAGTAAAAAGGAAAGATCCAGAATGTTGGTGCAATATAAAAATATTATCAAAAATACCTTGATTCAATTTTAGATTGTTTTTTAGGCATCAGACAGTTTTTGGTGACTGGGTAGGGTTTTTTTAGCATTCTGTATATGATGCTTTTGTTATAAATTAAAAGCAGAACGTGGTGCATATCAGTACTGATTAAAATATCATTTTTGCGAAAACATCACAATCTGTACAAGTTTTCATCCGTCAAAAAGAATGGCTATAATACTTGCATAGAAATAAACCTGATCTGAGAATGACTATTTTCAGGATTGTGAATACATAAAATATATTCTGGTAATATTATTTATGTGTGCAATTTTAATGTAGTTCAGTGCCAAAATGCATGTTTTTCCATATAGCACTAAAGTGAGGCGAAGAGTAGTTTTCAAATTGCAACTCATTTGTCAGTTACAGTAGATACCAGTTTCTACATTTGCATTTGTTCCTTGTGAAAATTGTTGCACTATTTTTGGCTGTATTTTCCAGCAGTTCACTGCATGCCATTTGTGTAAGGGTTCTTTCTGTAATTCTTGTGAATTGTTTCACCCGTAAATACCACTAAACTTTTAACCTTTGTGTGGGAATCTAGGTTTTTGGCAAAATATTTCGTTACCTCAGTCTTGTATCAAGTTGGTGTGTTTTTCAGCTTGTTACATTGATAATGATTGTTTCACTTATTAAATACTTTAACATAAAAAGTTTACTTCGACAGGAATTGCTTTTGGTTGTAAGTTTAAACATGAAAAAAATGTGCAAAATGTGTATGTTGCTAAGAATAAAATACTTTGAAAAAGAATAGTAGAGGTAAAAAAAAACTTTTCAGCTCAAAGGCAACAAATGCTTTACTTGTGATTAAGTGATAGCACAGTTGAAGAGTAGACTGCATAGTTGCCTAACATCTAGTCATTTAATAATGTAGATGTTACAGAATCCAAATGCCATAAAACTGATAATCCCTCCAGATTTTGTAGTTCCTTCAATAGGACTTGGAAATCCCAAAGAAGTGAAGACAAACCTATTCTATTTCTTCTCAGAGAATGGTGTTTAATAACTGCCAAACCTACACGTTGATGTTGATATCAATTTACTGACACTTACTATACTTTTTTTTGAAACTTGGGTTCTCATTTTCTGCTCACTGAAATTGATCACAAAATATTTCATCCACTACAAGAATTATCTGCCCTACATTATCTGCCCTACATTAAACAGCATAGCAGTGAAGTTCCTTATAGTAATAGCTTCTGGTATTAAAGTAGGAAATTTTTGAGAAATTTCAGAGATGCATCCTAGAGCCTTGAAACATTGAGTACTGTTGATAGGGAGAGCCTAGCAATCAAATGCTTATTAAAGTTTCCTATTGGGAAAGAATGAACATGTAGTGACCTATTATTATTATTTCTCTTGTTTTTGAGCAGTATTTTTTACTACTGGAAATAGATTAGTTCCACATTGTGAATGGCAAAGTGGATGCTTTACCTTCTGCAGCACCATCGTTTTGTGAGAAGTTGCCTGAGGGGCAATAAGAAATTATCTAATATGAAGCTGAGAACAGAATGAGTTTGCATGGTTGCATGGAAACAACTGCTTTCAGTGCTGAACAAGGAAGTGCCGAACACCCAGAAACAGGAACTAAAACTAACTAAAACTACCTATTTTTATTTTATTTTATTTTATTTTATTTTATTTTATTTTATTTTATTTTATTTTATTTTATTTTATTTTATTTTATTTTTGTCATGAAGTCTTGGAAATCATTCGGCTCCATAGAACTTGCCTCCAGGGCTAAATCTTCTTTTTTCCCATTTTAAAATTTAATGCTGCTCCTGCAAAAATTGTAAACATAAAGAATCCCTTAATGCATAAGAAAGCTTCAATGAGTGCCTCTTACATCTACAAAATGATAAATGAGTTTTAATGGAAGTAGGAAAATTAATCATAATTCTTCTCTGAGGAGGCAACAGGCTGGAAAATAAAGCAAATGAGCATGTTTGCAATGCTCAGGGTATTCCGTAATGTATATATCATTATTAAAGCAACAGATGATGAGGGAGAAAGGGGACTGTTCTTGACACTGCAGTATTTTGATGTAGTGTTACATGCTTTTCTGATAAAAGACGGTCAAAGATGAGTACCAAAGGGCAAATCATTAAATTGTTCATGATGAGCAAGCCATTTGTTGTTGATGTTGTTATGTAACCTGGGAAAAGAAACAAAAAAGAAATCTTTAGTAAGTTTGTTCCTACTGTATATATCAAGTTGTCCTAGGTAAGTTGTGGCACAGTTTTGGTTTTTTTGTTTGTTTTTGTTCTGGAATCAGTAATGTTTGTTGTGTTATTTACATAGCTGTGATCTATTGATATAAACTTTTTTTCTTTCTTTTTATCAAGTTCAGATAATGTGCCAGAATTTTCCTTAGGGAAAGCGAAAAGAAGAAAGAAAACTTGTCAGTGTTCACATGCTTCAATAGACTACAGATGTGAGTACCAAACAGATTGACCTATTAGGAAAAATGAATACTCCCATTTTACGTCAATCCAAACACTCTTGTCCATGAGAAATTATAGATAGTAATGAATTGGAGGAAGTATCCTTTATACTTCTGGACTCTGCCTGTAGTCATGCACTTCCTGCCAGAAGTAAGCTTTTTAGCTTTAAGGAAGAATAGACTGCGTTTAGATCTGAAAACACAATGCTATTGAATGTTAAACTAATAAGCAAATTCAGAAAACAGATATTCTAGTTCCCATATAGGAATAAGTCTTTCCATTTATATGGACGAATTAGCAGACACAACCAAGTAGATATTTTTTTTTACATAAAATTTATTGCTTGATACTGCACCCTTAAGAAAATACGTGTCATTTTTGAGTACAAGGAAACACCCTGGAAACACTGGCTGTTAGTTACAGGATTTTCTGTAGTAAAACAAAACTTAATGTGAAATTTTGTCGCAAGTGAACACAAAGGAAGTGTGCCTTGTCTTTTAGAGGTTAATGTTAAACTTACTGAGCAAAGAAGTAAACATGAAGAGCACGGAAAGGGACAGCTAGGCAGTGCGGAAATTAATAGGTGAAGGAGAAAAGCGGAAATTCACAAAAAGTAACTTCCTTTTAGATAATTCAAATACAGCAGTACTTAAAAGTCCAGCAACCTCTGTCAGCTTAGGTTACAATACATTTGTTTTAATCCGACTAACAAGTTTATATAATTGGGAGAAAGCCACCACAGTCTTATTTCATATACTAGCCTCAGAAAGCATACATTTATGGTTGCTGAGGGGACTTGATTTTCAGATCTTGACGATGTATGCAGGTCTGTAGCAGAGGAAGAACAAATTTTAGGACAAATACTGAGATATGTGAAAGCGAGTTACTTGCTTAAAAGTGGTAGTGTTTTTAAAGTCGTAGGTTTTTTTCCGCA